TTGGTTGACACGAGGCGTTAACCGTGGCATATGGGGCCTCGGGTGCAGGATATGCGCTGAGTTTGCGGCTTCCGGCAACAAGTGTGACGGCGCCAGGTTTTCAAAGTTTGCCAAGTTCCAGATTCGCCCGAGGGCGGGTTTTCACGCCAGGATGCTCATACAGCGACATAGCACTTCCGAGTCGCACCGCGTGGCCTGTGGGATAAAAAAGAGAAAGATTCCGACATGTTTGCTCAGCCGACTGTACCACAGCCTCTGGCGTGCCCGACCGTTTGGCCAACTGAGAAGCCATGCGAGCTTCTGGCGACCGAGTCTGATACTGGGCTGATCAAGGGAAACGCACCGTCCCCATCGGAGTGGAAAGACGCGTGGGCGGTGCTATCAGAAGGAGTCTCGCTCCGGAAGGCCGCTCGCATCTGCGATAAGAGCAGGCACGCGCCTGGCGCGCCTGGCTCGGTGGCGAACAGAGCACGGAAACGCCATCGCCGACAACTCCAAGTGATGGCGGAGGTCTTGAGGAAGAGGATCCGCCAAGTGCTGCGCCAGGCGACTTCCATATCTTTGGCGATCGATGAGTCGAAGTATCGGAAAGTCGCCCGGTTTCGCGCCGACCTTCCTGCTGTCCAACATAGCGGTCAGGGCTTCCACTTGGGCAACGTTGGTGCGTCAGGATTCTGCGTCTCGGGCGTGTTAGGCCTCCTCGACTGCTCGAAGAAACACGCGTCCGACTTCGAGGAGGACCACGCTGTCACTACGGTTAAGCAGCTTGATGCATTTCTGACAAAATTCTGCAAGCCGCTCGGCACAATTCATGGCCGCAGGGGGGCGCAGCCTCTGGCGTGCGATGAGGAACTGAAAGCGCACGTGCTGCGAACAGTCACCAGTTTCTCTGCTGATGGCGCGTCCAAGGAGCGGCGTTCAGTCTTCCTCGCCGCTCGCGAACTGTTCCCCAACTTGTTAATCGTGATTCGCGATCCAGCACGCGCCATGCGCATTGCCGTCAAATCGATGCATCGCGACGACGTGTTTGGGGAGGTCTGGAGAGAGCTGTTCGATGATCGGCATGCGTTGGTTCCGGGCCTAATGCACTCTAACAAGCTGCACAACCTTCTGGTGGCAATCCAGGAGGACAACGTGCACGCAGTGGCAGTGCCTGGATTGCCTGGAGCACCCCAGCCCCTGGCGGGAATCGTGCGGAATTTGGCGTTCGCCAAGCAACGCTTCGACTCGACGGCGGCCCCAGTGTTGAAAATCGCTCTCTTGCTTGTGCCGGTGGCAACTTTGCTAGCGTACATCGCGTCGGACCGTCGCCACGACCGGGAGCAACGCGATCGGGCGGGTGCCTTGTTGCGGAAATTCGATACTAAGTTCTGTATGGCCGTTGGTGTGTCCGCGGACTGGGGGATCATATGCAACTGGTTCTTGCGACTTTTCGACGTCGCCAGCCACGACATTGCAAAGTCGCGTTCCGAGATCGATTGCATGGTCGAGACGCTGGATGCTGTCTTCACGGAAGGGCGGGTCTTCCAGTCGGTCCTCCGGGCACCTCCCGTCGCAGCCGCAGCCTCTGGCGCGACCGCCCCAGCTTCCGAGGAGCCGCTACCGCGGCTCCGCGTCCGAGCGGAAGGACACGAGGCTGGCTTCATCACAGAGACGGCCATGCGAGATCTTCGCCGCAGGTATGTGTTCTACGCAGACGGAGACCCCGTGATGCCGTGGGGGGAACCAGCAGCGGCGCACAAGGAGGAGCTCCTCCACCGATTGCAGAACGTGGCGAGCTTGACAAAAGAGCGCTTGCTCGCGGACTTCCCGCGGACTGATGTCCGCTCGGCGCTGGCCATGTTTGACAGGCGTCTCGTGCAGAAAGGCTTCGGCCCAGTGCCCGATGTGGAGATGCGGCGTTTCCTTCTGCGCGGCGTTCGCCAGCTGGCGGGCCTCCTCGGCTGCGACGAGCAGGCGGCGTTATGGCAGTATAACGGCGTGCTTCCCTACATGCTCCAACAGATGGAGCCATCCCAGCCACTGGCGGGGGCAACTAATCAGCAAGCGTGGGCTCGCATTCTCGACGATGTCTTTTGGGGGGCGGCTTGCCCGAACCGGCTCCGTGGGGCCTCTCGCGTGCTCTGCCGCCTCGTGCGTTTCTACATTTCGATTGAAGACGGGGAGTGCACCGTCGAACGCGACTTAGCCCGATTTCGGGATCAACTGGTAGAGCACCGCGCTGATGAGATTGCTTTTCGCGACGACTGCTTGATCCTGAAGTTGAACGGGCCGAAGACGGCATCAGAATTCGACGAAGGCGCGGCTCGCCCTGGACTGGGGTTGACGTCCTTCTCCAGGGAATGCGCCAGCCTCTGGCGGGAACTGTTCGGCCAACGGCATGGGCATTACAATCCTCATGCTACTGCGGCGGCCAAGCTAAAAAGGAAGAGCGCGCCCGGGCTGGTTCGCGGACGTTTTCGGGCCGTCCTTGGGGCCGCCCGCCTGGCCGTGACTGCTGCCCGTCTTCGACGGGCGCGGGGCCCGTCGACCGCGGTGCATTCCGGCGCAGGCACTGAGGGGGGCGCTTTGTGGAACGTCGACATGGGTAAGTTCCAGGCGCGCAGCCGCAATAATATACCAGGCGTCCAGCAGACGCGGGCGCGTCCAGGGGCGCCTTTCGTGAAACCGCCCGGCGTCGACCTTGCCCCGAGACGAGGTTCGCCGACGCAGCCTCTGGCGCGGCCCTCGCCGTACAGCAAGGTAGCAAGCCTCGGCGGTGCGACAGACATGTGTCCTGCGAGAGGTTGCGCTACGGTCGCTGGCAGACACCGTTGCGCAGAAGCAGACCTCGTCGTCGTTCCAGACTTGGCGTTTCTCCACGACGTGGACGCGCTGGCAGCAAGTGTGGATCTGGCCGTCTCTTTCTTTTACATCGCCTCGCTTGGCCTGGGCGTCGTTACGAAGACGCACCTGGTCGCAGCCCAGGGCCACCCAGACAGAATTCCACTCGACCATCGCACGCGCCACGTTCCAGCAAACGAGCGCCAGGAGGTTCTCTATCTCGGGCTAGGCCTCGTCGCGGAGCATCCAGATGTGCGGGCGGCAGTGCGGCGCGTGGCCCGCAGAGCGGGATCGAAGCTCGCAGTGTCGCAAGCGGCCCCCCCAGCCGCTGGCGGGGCGTGTTTCTCGTCTCTGCGCGACGTTGTCGCGTGGGCGTCTGCAGCGAGGAAAGTGAGAGTTGAGTTCGGGCCAAAGGCAGTGGCTGTGGATGGAATTCCACTGCGCGCCTGAAGAGCAACAAATCGACGCTTCGCACATCTCTGCCAGCCCATCCAGAAACGATGCCCAGGCGAGTCGCCATGATCAATGATATGCTGGAGCACGCAGTGCAACAGAGGTCGCTTGGGGGGAACCGTCGAACCGAAGGTTTGGATCAGCCTAGGCAAACCCAGGCGCGAGACGCGCATTCTTTCGCTGCCATGTCGAATGAAGGGGAGGGTCACGCGGGGAACAGGCATCAGGATGAGGACGGAAAAGGAAGAGGAGGAATATGATGAGGAGTAGAAAAAGTCGGGATGACGAGGACAAGAATTGATGTTCGCGTAGGACCATCCTGGAGCTCTTTCGGAGCCCTCCCAGGGCTTGCTCGGAATTTTTGTGGGCGGTCTGGGATGCCTTTGGGGCTCATTTGGAGGACCTCGAAACTTTCTTCGAATCCTGTGGGGGCGGCCTGGGGCCATCTTGTAGATCCCCCCCCCCCCATCTGGGTTCATCGAAGTCGCTGTTATTTTGAGGCCGACTCAGGGCTGCAAAGCAGACCACCCATAAGTAGAGCAGGCCCCGTCCAAAAGCGTACCTGACCCCGCCCAAAAGTAAATCAGACCACCCGTAAGTCGACCAGATCCCGTCCAAAAGTAGACCAGACCCCGCCCAAAAGTAATTCAGACCACCCATAAGCAGACCAGACCCCGTCCAAAAGTAGACCAGACCCCGCCCAAGAGGGTATCAGACCACCCACAAGGAAACCAGACCCCGTCCAAAAGTAGACCAGACCCCGCCCAAAAGTAAGTCAGACCACCTTAAAATGAACCAGACCCCGCCTGCAAGTAGACCAGACCCCGCCCAAAAGTATATCAGACCACCCACATGGAGACCAGACACCGCCCAAAAGTAGATCAGACCCCGTCCAAAAGCAGACCAGACCCCTCCCGAAAGTAGATCCGACCACCCGCATGGAGACCAGACCCCGCCCAAAAGTAGATCAGATCCCGCCCAAAAGTAGATCAGACCACCCAACATTGAACCCGACCCCGTCCAAAAGTAGATCAGACCCCGCCCAAGAGCAAATCAGACCACCGAAAAGTAGACCAGACCCCGCCCAGTAGACCAGACCCCGCCCAAAAGTAGATCAGACCACCCATAAGGAGACCAGACCCCGTCCAAAAGTAGATCAGACCCCGCCCAAAAGAGATCAGACCACCAAGAAGGAGACCAGACCCCGTCCAAAAGTAGACCAGACCCGTCCAAAAGTAGATCAGACCACCCACAAGGAGACCAGACCCCGCCCAAAAGTAGACCAGACCCCGCCCAAAAGCAAATCAGACCACCCAGAAGTAGACCAGTCCCCGCCTGCAAGTAGACCAGACCCCGCCCAAAAGTATATCAGATCACCAACAAGGAGACCAGACCCCGTCCAAAAATATATCATACCCCGCCCAAAAGTAGATCAGACCACCCATAAGCAGACCAGACCCCGTCCAAAAGTAGACCAGACTCGCCCACAAGTAGACCAGATCACCCACAAGGACACCAGACCCCACCCAGAAGTAGGTCAGACCCCGCCCAAAAGTAGATCAGACCACCCACAAGGAGACCAGACCCCGTCCAAAAGTAGACCAGACCCCCGCCCAAAAGTATGAATGAGACATCCACCCAGCGCAGTTATCGGTTCAAGGACCAAGTGCTGGCAACGAGGCGCGCGCCCGACTCTTCTTGCGTCTCTCCGTGTGCTCGCGCCCATGGCGTCTCAGCAGGGAGCTGCTCCCGTGCCGAAGAGTTCGCGCACGGCACAGCAGCCTGCAGTGCCGCCTGCAGCGTCGCCCGCACCGCCCGCGCCATTGGCCGTCGCGGAGCTGCTCGAGGTGGAATCGGTGCAGAGCCAGGCGGGGCATCTGATCAATTGGGCAAAGGGGACGAAGGAGTACGTCGACCATGCTCTCCTCAAGTTCCTGTCTGAGAAGCAAGCACTGGTGTCTTTCAAAGTGCCGGCCTCCGTCATGCTCGTCCCTCCTCTGCAAATTTCTGCCGCAGCCTCTGGCGCGCACCTGACATCGTTTCGGGAGGTCATGCAGTACGACAACTTGCAGTTGAGCTTCCTTAAGACGGGGCAGTACGAGGCTGCAGGGACGGTGTGGATGCTTGACCCGCCCCCCGCCGACACGTCGGACACCGTCTCTATCAGCCAGCTCGATGCCGCCATGGCGAACTGGACTGAGGAGAGGCTCTTGCTGTCTTCCGACCACCCGCCGTCGCGGCGCTACTCGTTCGACGTGCCGCTCCCAGCGCGAGTTGGCAACACCAGGGTGGCCCAGCGCATGGCCCAAGGCGAATCCACTGTTCTCATGGCAACGGGAGCGCCCATGCTGGCGGGGCATGCGCTTGTGATGGCGTTGTATGGCGCCATGGCGGAGGCATTGTCCGCCGGCAACAGTGATCGCGCATTCAAGCTGTTTGAGGCAGCTTTGTCTGTGCCAATCAGGCTGCGTCTCAGCCCCGATCCTGACGCCTGCCAGCTGGCGTCGCTGCTGTTCTCTGAGACCGTATTCTCTGCTTGCGCAGCCTCTGGCGCGGATTCTTTTTGGAAGTTGGCTGAAAAGGTGAGTCGCCTGACCAAGTGCCAGAAGGCTTTGGCCGAGAACCTTTCTATTCCGAAATTGACCGGCGTCCTCAAGTGCTACGGGATCACGTTCAAGGGCAACGCGCTGACCGACTCACACGCAAAGGCTTTGAAAAGCCCCACGCCTTTCGTCGGGAATCAAGCTTGCGCCGCGGCCTACTCTTTGGCGGGGGCTTTCTGCCCCGAGCTGCGCGAACCCGCGCTGTTGATGCGGCTGGCGCAGCTCTGCAAAGGAAGGGCGGCGCCCCCCCAGGCAGACAAGGACGCGGTCGCCTGCGACTCGATGGCGTTCATCCTGGACTGCTTGCGCGTTGCCCGGCTGACTGGCGAGGCCCCCAGGGGGGAGACGCTTTCTTTGAGCAAGGTCACGGGGCAAGAGAAGAAGACCCCCGCGATGGCGCACGTGCTATTCAAGAAACATGATGTCATCGACTACATTATGCACGAGGCGGCGTTGATCGACAAAGAAATGGTGACTACAGTATCCATATTTCGCACGCCGCTTTCCATCGTGAAGCGCTTCTCAGCCTCTGGCGAGAAAAGCTTAGCTGCTGCATTTCGGCGAGAGGAGACCTCCGATACCAGTGGGTTGGAAAACACGTTCGCTGTCCCTGTGGCCGAATACCGCGACCAGCAAGGCCGAGATGCGAAGACGCAGGCGTTGATCGACTTCGCGTGGGCGGTCTGGGCTGGCCACTTCGACGAGGAGCTCCAGGAGCTGGCCGCCCAAGACCTGCAGGTAGGTGCAGCCGCCTTCCTGTGGCACCGGTACTTCGCCGAAAGCACCAAGGAGATGGGCGTCAAGTACCGCGCGCTGACCGCTGCTTGCTCGGCGGGCCCCATTTCGGCTGGCACTGCCGAGGGCGCAGCCTCTGGCGTGGTCATGGGTGCGTCGGAGCTCCAGGAGGCCGACCAGGAGGACCTCCAGAAAACCAAGGACTTGCTCTTCTCTCTTCGCAGGAAGACTGTTTCGTTCGTGGCGCTGCCGTCGGTCGGCGGAGCCACTGGCGCGGAACACAGCGCCGCCCAGTTGCAGAAATTGTGGGAGGAGATGCGTCTCGGACACAGGTACGCCAAGAAAAAGCAAGACGTTCGTGCGTTCGTGGTGTCGGCCGACCTGTTCGCCCCAAACGTGAGCAAGACCGGGGTGGCGGCGAGCTTGGGCGACCCCGTCGCTGTGGATGCGGACCGTTTCGGGCGCGTGCTTGATTTCGTCTTGCAGAAGCGTTCGGTTCACGATATCGTCATTTTCCTCGATGGGCGGAGCCGGTCGTGCCGCAAGCTGATCGAGGAGAAAGAGGAGAGTCTCGCAGCCTCTGGCGCGCACGCTGTGACTGAGTGTTGGTGCGTGTATGTGCAGCCGAGCAAGGAACAGGACTCCAGAGTCCCGGGAAGAATGACTTCTTTTGCGTGCAACAGCAAGGAAGTCGCCATCTGCTCCATCCCGAAAAGGGGCGCCATGAAGGTAGTGCAGCGCGCGGAGTTCAACTTGCGCGGCGAGACCACGAGTTCTGCGACGACGTACACGGGCGTGCCTATGCGGCTTTACAGCGAGCTGCCGCGGATGACCTACGAGACGAAGGCCTCGATCCTGGGAAACGCAGCCGCTGGCGCGGTGAGAGGGAAGCGCGCGCAGAAATACATCGACGCGAACGGGCACCCCTTCTCGCACTTGGAGGTGAAGCCATTGAGCTTTTGGCAACGGATTTGCGAGCACCACCACATCACGCATATCGTTGACTTCACGGCGGGGTCTGGCGGGTTGGCAATCGCAGCCTCTGGCGCGATGGAGTACGAGGGCGTGGCGGTCAACGAGGTGCACCGGGAGTGGCTCGACGCGACCTTGGACCGATGCGCGTTGTACATGGCGGGGCGTGACAAGAATTTCGCCCAAAAGCTCGGCGGCGACGACGGTTTCGTTGAGAAGGTAGAGAAGTATTTCGCGGGAGCGATGATGGAGGTGCGGCGCTTGCTCGAACCAGTCGCGGACGAGGAGGGCGGGGATGGGGGGGGCTCAGACCCAGATGAGGAGTAGATCGCAGGCGCGCGATCGCGGGCGGGAAAACGATGCAGCCTCTGGCGCGCCGCTGCCGCGGGCTGGCCCTGACACGGTGCCGAAATGTTGTGCTCGTCGCGACTCCAGTGCGTGAGCAGTTTTGGGGGGTGACGCCTCTGGCGCGCGAGGAAGCGTGCAGGACCTTCCAGCGCGGCGAAGTTTTGATGGGTAGACCAGTCTCCTGCCCGGAGGGGCAACTTCAGACGCGCCTTTGGACGCGCGCGGCGCTGTTGCGCAAGAGAGGAAATGTTCCGACCCCGCGCAGACGCAAGCCCATCCATTCGGCGCCGAAGGCCTTGCCGCCCAGAAGTAGGCCAGACGTCGCCTAGAAGTAAGCCAGACCGCCCGTCAGACCAGGCCAAACCACCCATACGTAGACCAGACCCTGTGCACAAGTAGGGCAGACCCGCCCAAAAGTACACCAGACCAATCAAAAGTAGACCAGACCCCGCCCAAAAGTAGATCAGACCCCGCACAAAAGTAGATCAGACCACCCACAAGGAGACAAGACCCCGTCCAAAAGTATATCAAACCCCGCCCAAAAGTAGATCATACCGCCCACAAGGAGACCAGACCCCGCCCAAAAGTAGATCAGACCACCCACAAGGAGACCAGACCCCTTCCAAAAGTATATGAGACCCGCCCAAACGTAGACCAGACCACCCACAAGGACACCAGACCCCGTCCAAAAGTAGATCAGACCCCGCCCAAAAGGAGATCAGACCCAGCCCAAAAGTAGATCAGACCACCCATAAGGAGACCGGACCCCGCCCAAAAGTAGATCAGACCTCGCCCACACGTAGATCAGACCACCCACAAGGAGACCCAACCCCGCCCGAAGGTAGGCCAGACCCGTCCAAAAGTAAATCAGAATACCCATAACTAGACCAGACCCAGTCCACAAGTAGAGCAAACCCGCCCAAAAGTAGACCAGACCACCCAGAAGTAGACCAGACTCCGCCCAAAAATATATCATACCCCGCCCAAGAGTAGATCAGACCGCTCACAAGGAGACCAGACCCCGTCCGCAAGTAGAGCAGACCCGCCTAACAGTAGACCAGCCTCCGCCCCAAAGTAGACCAGACCCCGCCCAAAAGTAGATCAGGCCCCGCCCAAAAGTAGATCAGACCACCCACAAGGACACCAGACCCCGCCCAAAAGTAGATCAGACCCCGCACAGTGGAAACCAAAGAAGACAACCGGGCCGTTTCTGGAAACGAGAAAAGAAAACCAGGCCGTTTCTGGAAACGAGGAAAGAAAACCGGGCCGTTTCTGGAAACGGGAAAAGAAAACCGGGCCGTTTCTGGAAACGAGGTAAGACAAATCGCCGTTTCTGCAACCGAGAGAAGAAAACCAGACCGTTTCTGGAAACGACGGAACGAAACTTGTGGTACCCCCACAAAGAAAGAAAACATGCTGGGAATCCGAACATGTTTTCTTTCCTCGGTTGCGCAACCGAGGGAAGAAAACATGTTCGGATTTGGCATGTTGGCGAGAAAGTTGTGGGCTGTGTATTAGAATCCTTATAGGGCCCACAACTTTCTCGCCAACATGCCAAATCCGAACATGTTTTCTTCCCTCGGTTGCGCAACCGAGGAAAGAAAGCATGTTCGGATTCCCAGCATGTTTTCTTTCTTTGTGGGGGTACCACAAGTTTTGTTCCGTCGTTTCCAGAAACGGTCTGGTTTTCTTCTCTCGGTTGCAGAAACGGCGATTTTTCTTACCTCGTTTCCAGAAACGGCCCGGTTTTCTTTTCCCGTTTCCAGAAAAGGCCCGGTTTTCTTTCCTCGTTTCCAGAAACGGCCTGGTTTTCTCTTCTCGTTTCCAGAAACGGCCCGGTTGTCTTCTTTGGTTTCCACTGTGCGGGGTCTGATCTACTTTTGGGCGGGGTCTGGTGTCCTTGTGGGTGGTCTGATCTACTTTTGGGCGGGGTCTGATCTACTTTTGGGCGGGGTCTGGTCTACTTTGGGGCGGAGGCTGGTCTACTGTTAGGCGGGTCTGCTCTACTTGCGGACGGGGTCTGGTCTCCTTGTGGGCGGTCTGATCTACTTTTGGGCGGGGTATGATATATTTTTGGGCGGAGTCTGGCCTACTTCTGGGTGGTCTGGTCTACTTTTGGGCGGGTTTGCTCTACTTGTGGACTGGGTCTGGTCTAGTTATGGGTATTCTGATTTACTTTTGGACGGGTCTGGGCTACCTTCGGGCGGGGTTGGGTCTCCGTGTGGGTGGTCTGATCTACGTGTGGGCGAGGTCTGATCTACTTTTGGGCGGGGTCCGGTCTCCATATGGGTGGTCTGATCTACTTTTGGGCTGGGTCTGATCTCCTTTTGGGCGGGGTCTGATCTACTTTTGGACGGGGTCTGGTGTCCTTGTGGGTGGTCGGGTCTACGTTTGGGCGGGTCTCATATACTTTTGGAAGGGGTCTGGTCTCCTTGTGGTGGTCTGATCTACTTTTGGGCGGGGTCTGGTCTCCTTGTGGGCGGTCTGATCTACTTTTGGGTGGGGTCTGATCTACTTTTGGGCGGGGTCTGGTCTATTTATGGGTGGTCGGATCTACTTTTGGGCGGGGTCTGATCGACTTTTGGGCGGGGTCTGGTCTACTTATGGGTGGTCTGGTCTACTGTTGGGCGGGTATGGTCTACTTTTTGGGCGGGGTCTGGTCTCCTCGTTGGTAGTCTGTTCTACTTTTGGGCGGGGTCTGATCTACTTGTTGGGCGGGGTCTGGTCCATCTGCGGGTGGTCTGATCTACTTTTGAGCGGGTCTGGTCTACTTTTGGGCGGGGTCTTGACTCCTTGTGGGGTGGTATGATCTACTTTGGGGCGGGGTCTGATCTACTTTGGGGCAGGGTCTGGCCTCCTGGTGGTCTGATCTACTTGTGGGCGGGGTCTGATCTACTTTTGGGCGGGGTCTGGTCTTCTTATGGGTGGCCTGGTTTACGTTTGAGCGGTTTTGCTCTACTTGTGGACAGGGTCTGGTCTACTTATGGGTGGTCTGACTTTTTTGTTGGCGGGGGCTGGTCTTCTTTTGGGCGGGGCATTGTCTTCCCATGCTGTAGTATGCGATGCCATGCTATGCTTTGGTGTACTAGGCTATGTCGCTCTGTGCTATGCTATGGTGCCCTGTGCTATGCTGTCGTCGTAGTGTCAGGCTGCCCTGTGCTATGACGTGGTCGGTAGGTCATGGTGATGATAGGAAGTGTCGTGATATGCTATGCTACACGTTGCTATGATGTAGCTCTGGCCCCCCTCCCAACCACCTCCCTATCGCACGAAGGGGTGTCGTGTAGGTATATTGCACATTGTATGGGCCCGCCCGTCCTTGAAGACAGTCACTAACGTTTACCCGACGTACTAATTTCGCTGGGAGCTGGAGTGGATCTTGTTTGCCTTCTGGGATGCACTTTGTATCCCAAGGGGGGGCCACGTGTTCTCCCGCTCTTTCGCGAACGTGTGCAAGAACGGAGAGTCAGGACTTGATTGGAGGGGAGAGGGGAATGAGGAAGAGAGGAAAAGAGGGGAGGAGGAGGGGGATTAGTAGGAGGTGGAGGAGGATGTGGACCAGGCGGAGGAGGGACGAGGAGGAGGAGGGCCAGGAGGATGAGGAGGGGGAATAGGATGATGAGGACGAGGAGGAGGAGGAGGAGGAGGCGGCAGAGGAAATGGTATGCAATGCAAAGCCATGCTATGCAATGCAAAACCTTCCGATGCCATGGTGCGCTATGCGATGCGCATCGATGCGATGTTTTGCCATGCTATGCCGACGCGCTGCAATGCTATAGATCCACTTGTTCCCTCTCCCCCACAACCTCCGCATCGCCCGATGGGCGGTCGTGTGGTTTTTTTGGGGCACAATCTCGTGGACTTCAGAGTGCGGCTCGTGCCAGTCACGCAAGTTTGCACGCGCCTGGCACGCGAGGGGAGGGGGGAAGTGGGGGGGGGGGAGGAGGAGGCGTAGGAGGATTTCGAGGGCCCCCGGAGGGCCGTTCGTCGCCACGGCTGGACGCACCTCTGAAAATTGAGGCGTCTGGATCTTGGGAAGGCTCCGGGGACCGGTTTTGAGTAAGAAGGGGGGGGGGGGGGAAGAAGAGGCAGGGGGCAGCCGCTCTCCACGGTCCTCTCGGCCCAAGCCGCTCGTGCTGCAAGCGCCTTCGCTCGGCGCCAGAGCGGCTCGCGCAACCAGCCTCCAGCGGGATGTCGGAGGATCCATTCACTGAGCCCCAGCCTCTGGCGGGAGACTTGGCTGAGCCCCACCCTCGGGCGGGGCACTTGCGGGAGTGGCGCCGAGACAATCATCTCCGAGTCAGCGAGACCATTATTTTCGGGAATACCAGCGCGAAGCCGAACAAAAACGCACAACTGCCGTGGCATTACTACTCTGTCCAGCAACCGAGCGGGGGCTATCAGAAGAGGCTCGTGGTTCCTGTCCTCGTGAGGGCCCCAGCCTCTGGCGGGGCACCCCTTCCGAAGGGGGCGCCAGAGGAGGCGCGGTTGGAAACCAGAATCCGCAACGGCGTTTTGATGGAGCACTACGCGAGCATCCATCGGATCGGGGCCCTCTTGGACAGCCACCCGCTTGTATCCACCGTCACACAACACAAAGTCGAGAAGGCCCTCGACCCCAAGTACCTGGACGAGGATGGCCGGGCTGAGAAATACCACCAGCCCCCTTGGGATTTGTCAGTCACGCTCGCAGCCTCTGGCGCGAAGTTCTATGTAGGGTGGGCCACAAACGACATCAAGAAGCCGCTCGCTGCGATGTGGTGGCTGTTTGCAGGGAAGTCCGCCACGGCGGAGAACCTCGCCCACGCGGAGGCGATTTTTTTAGATGTCGCCGATGCCGCCCGTTCCTGGCCGCTCGGCTTTCTCCCTGAGGAGAGGGGGTCCGGGGCCACTGCGAGCTCTTCCTCTGCCGGCGTCGCGCCCCAGCCTCTGGCGGCAACTGCAGCGCCGCCGACGGCGTGGCCCCAGCCTCCAGCGGG